TTGTGAAGTGGAAACTGGGCAATCTGCCACCAAAGAGTTCAATAGACAATCAGAATGGAAGGGATTGTGAATTGTAAACTAGGTAGCCTACCACCCAAGAGTTTTATAGACCTTCAGAATTCAATGGATTTTAAAGAGGAAACGTGCAACCTGCCACCCAAGAGTTCAATAGACCATCAGAAAATAATGGATTATGAAGTGGAAACACAAATACGATCGAAAGTAAATGGTGTAAACTGCCCAAACTACAACCCAAGAGTCCTATGGACCATCAGAATTCAGTGGATTGTGAAGTGGAAGCTGGGCACCCTACCACCCAAGAGTTTGATAGACCAACAGAATTCAGTGGATTGTGAATGAACTCTTGGGTGGCAGTTGCCCAGTTTCCTCTTCACAATCCATTAACTTCTAATGGGCTATTTAACTCTTGGGTGGCAGGTTGCCTATTTTCCACTGCACAATCCATTGAATTCTGATGGTCTATTGAAGCAGTGACTGGGAACCCTACCACCCAAAGTTTCATAGACCATCAGAATTTAGTGGATTGTGAAATGGAATCTGGATACCCTACAACCCAGAAGTTTGATAGACCATCAGAATTCAATGGATTGTGAAGTGGAAACTGGGAAAACAAACTGACATCGGCCACACAATCTACTTAAAAGCAAGTACATTTTTCTGCCTTTGGGGCAATTCTGATCCCATTTCTTTAATGTTGATCAAGACCTCCGTTTTATGTCTTCGATAGCTGTGCTATTTCACCAAAAAACAAAATAGAATTGAAGCTTCAGCCACTCGATCAAATTTCTATGGGTATGGACAGCCTACAACTAAAGCTACCCAGAACATGTACTTTTTGTTATAGAAGGGGCTGTAGCTTTTATGTACAGTTGGCCAAAAAAGTATTTAGTCAGCCACCAATTGTGCAAGTTCTCCCACTTAAAAAGATGAGAGAGGCCTGTAATTGGCATCATATGTAGACCTCAACTATGAGAGACAAAATGAGAAAACAAATCCAGACACATTTATTTGCAAATTATGGTGAAAAATAAGTATTTGGTCAATATCAAAAGGTCATCTCAATACTTTGTTATATATCTTTGTTGGCAATGACAGAGGTCAAACGTGTCCTGTACGTCTTCACAAGGTTGGCACACACTGTTGCTGGTATGTTGGCCCATTCCTCCATGCAGATCTCCTCTAGAGCAGTGATGTTTTGGGGCTGTCGCTGGGCAACACGGACTTTCAACTCCCTCCAAAGGTTTTCTTTGGGGTTGAGATCTGGAGACTGGCTAGGCCACTCCAGGACCTTGAAATGCTTCTTACGAAGCCACTCCTTCGTTGCCCGGGCGGTATGTTTGGGATCATTGTCATGTTTAAAGACCCAGCCACGTTTCATCTTCAATGCCCTTGCTGATGGAAGGAGGTTTGCACTCAAAATCTCACGATACATGGCCCCATTCATTCTGTCCTGTACACGGATCAGTCATCCTGGTCCCTTTGTAGAGAAACAGCCCGAAAGCATGATGTTGCCACCCCCATGCTTCACAGTAGGTATGGTGTTCTTTGGATGCAACTCAGCATTCTCTCTCCTCCAAACACGACGTCTGGCACTGCAGGATCTGAGTCCCTGGCGGTGTAGTGTGTTACTGATGGTAGCCTTTGTTACGTTGGTCCCAGCTCTCTGCAGGTCATTCACTAGGTCCCCCCGTGTGGTCCTGGGATTTTTGCTCATCGTTCTTGTGATCAATGAGATGAGATCTTGCGTGGAGCCCCAGATCGAGGGAGATTATCAGTGGTCTTGTATGTCTTCCATTTTCTAATTATTGCTCCCACAGTTGATTTGTTCACACCAAGCTGCTTGCCTATTGCAGATTAAGTCTTCCCAGCCTGGTGCAGGTCTACAATTTTGTTTCTGGTGTCCTTCCACAGCTCTTTGGTCTTCACCATAGTGGGGTTTGGAGTGTGACTGTTTGAGGTTGTGGACAGGTGTCTTTTATACTGATAACAAGTTCAAACAGGTGCCATTGATACAGGTAATGAGTGCAGGACAGAGGAGCCTCTTAAAGAAGAAGGTACAAGTCTGTGAGAGCCAGAACTCTTGCTTGTTTGTAGGTGACCAAATACGTATTTTCCACCATAATTTGCAAATAAATTCGTTCCAAATCAGCTGATGTGATTTGTCTGGATTTGTTTTCTCATTTTGTCTCTCATAGTTGAGGTCTACCTATGATGCCAATTACAGGCCTCTCATCTTTTAAGTGGGAGAACTTGCACAATTGGTGGCTGACTAAATACTTTTTTGCCCCACTGTATATTAATAGTAGTATGCTACCATTTAAGACACAAATAGTGCTTGCTGGGGTACTTCATTAAACCCAAAAACACAAATTGTATACACGACAGGTTATTATATTACTCCATAGATATGGTGGCTGCATTAGCTTTCTTTTTCCAGAATTTTACCCTTTATTTCCACCTGGTGGTCCTGCCAGAAATACACTTCCTGTCCTAGGGTGACTACGCTCGCTCACTGCACTGTATCTATTGAGAAGCAGTGTTGTCACCCCAGAATAAGAAGTGTGTTATTGTAAGCATCACCAGGTGAAAATAAAGGGAAAAATTCTGAATTCTAGGCTGATTTAGGCTATAGATATCATCCCCTCTCCTTATTTCCATATCATTGGGGGAGGGAATGTTCTGCAATTTAGAGAAGAGAACTGGGAAGGCTGTTCAGCTCACAGGAAGTTACAAGCACACTGTATTTCTGGCAGGATAAACAGAACATTAGGAAAATGAATGCAGCCACCACATCCAAAGACTGGCAAGCAGCAATATATGACAGTTTTGTTCTTGGGTTTAGCTGATACAGGATGACGTTAGAGCTTTCTTTATTAAGTCACATTTTTTTCTTTGTTTCCTACAGCCAGCATCACTATCCCACCATCCTTCAGTATATCAGTTGGCAGAAGTCAGAGCCTAGATTGCAGGTCTAGTATCAGTGACGCAAGCACCTCTATAGCCTGGGCCAAAGGCACCCCCACTAATATTGTGTTCCAGAACACAAGTTTTTCCATAAAGGGTGCATCGTCAGCCTGGGCTGGTGAGTAAAAATTACCATTTTATGTTTTATTGCATAAGACAGTTTATTATTATAAATGTAATAATGTAATACAGATACATGCAATGTGCTCATCGGGGTTTATTTACTAAAGAGAGACCGCTCATGCTTGGTGAATATGGTAGAGCCATGCTGCCTTCCATCACCCAGACATGTGCTACCAAAAATCCTCTTCATTTCAATCCTCCCAGTTTATGATTGGACATGTCAAGTCAACACAGCCTTATGTTAAGACAAGTGAACATTGAATAGTAAATCAGCCCCATTACACTTATTAACCCTTTTGCTGCCTTTTTTCCCCTCACATGTTAAAATTCACAATTTAGGCCTGAAGATTACTTAAAACCCTGCAAGATTTATATTCCGTTTGTGAAACTTCAGATCCGATGAGTAGGGTTGCCACCTTTTCTCCAAGCGAAACACGCACACTCAAGTGCCAGCGGAGAGGGAGAGACAGCCAGGAGAGAGAGAGGAGAGACAGCCAGGGGAGAGAGAGGAGAGACAGCCAGGAGAGAGAGGAGAGACAGCCAGGAGAGAGAGAGGAGAGACAGCCCGGGGAGAGAGATGAGAGACAGCCAGGGGAGAGAGAGGAGAGACAGCCAGGAGAGAGAGAGGATAGACAGCCAGCAGAGAGAGAGAGAAGAGACAGCCAGGGGAGAGAGAGGAGAGACAGCCAGGAGAGAGAGAGGAGAGACAGCCAGGGGAGATAGGAGAGACAGCCAGGAGTCAGAGCGAGGAGAGACAGCCAGGGGAGAGAGCGAGGAGAGATAGCAAGGGGAGAGAGTGCAAGGAGAGACACCGAGTAGCGACAGCTGGGAGAGAGATGGGGTACTTAATTTTATTTAATGGGAGGCGGGGTACTTCTCTTCATTTAACTTAGTTTTTAACTTTTTTTTTAACCTCTCTTTACTCTATCCCATTGGGGACCCCCACGCAGGGGTGTCCCGAGGCTGTGTGTCACCAGGTCTCCAGACCGGCTGACACACTGCCATGTCGTCTCCGTGCGCAATGACGTCATAGCGCACACGTAGCCATCTGATTGATTCCTGGCGGCGGCCATCTTGGTAATGGACGCCGGCAGTGAGAGGAGGGGATGTTCACCTGGCGGGATGAGGTATACCGCCGGGTCCCCTACTCTCTCCTGACACTGTCGGGTTCTCGGTCCATGACCTAGTGCCCGACTTTTCAGAGGGGGTGACACCAAAATGACTGTCAGTCATTTTGGTGTCACCCATCCAATGGTGTCGCCCGGGTGCGGGCCGCACCCTCCTTGTGATGCCACTGCCTGCACGCCTACTATGTGATAGCACATTAGCGGTGACAGGTCCTCTTTAGGGAGACATTACGGATCTTTTGGCCCCAAATGTCACGTTTGCACTCCAATGAAACTGATCAAACTCAGATCCTGCTTGACCAGCTTCATCCCCAGCCACAGTTTTATCCCTAAAAAGCATCCAATTATGCTCACATTTAGTAGGTAAATCTTTCTACATGGCTGCATCTATGTGCCTGTAAATGTGAGCCTAATACATCACAAAAGTGTTTTTGCAACTGAGCTAGATCTTTAGATTTCATATCTATTATACGTATGTCAAATACTGTATATACTGTAAATCTATTGTATATATCCATCTCATACCTATTGTATATTATTGTGTTGTGGCCGTTGTGCAGCTCCTTGTGTTTTTAGACCGGGTTGTCTAACTGTGTATTAATGAACGGAAAGAAAGGGAAGGAAGGAGCGCAACTGACTGGCACAGACTTTGTGGGAGTGGATGGACCAGGAAATGGCAGTGGATCAGGTGAAGGTGGGTGGGAATGAGAGATGGGCACTCACGTGTGATGAGATGGATGGCACACAGGTGATGGGCTCCTGGTGATGTCGTTACCTTTGGATCATCCGAGTTTGTTGCGTCTCGAGACCGAGGATTTCGGGAAGGTGGTGCTGTGTGGTAAGGTGCCAGCACTTATGGTCGGATATCCGGAGTGTCAGCGTGTGGTCAGGAGTAAATGAACGAGTAGGTGAGTATAATGAGTACAACCTCTAATGGGTAGCAATACATTTCACCATACGTTCATTTACTCCTGATCACACGCTGAAACTCCAGATATCCAACCATAAGTGCTGGAACCTCACCACACAGCACCACCTTCCCGAAATCCTTGGTCTCGAGACGCAACAAACTCGGATGATCCAAAGGCCACGACATCGCCAGGAGCCCATCACCTGTGTGCCATCCATCTCATCACACGTGAGTGCCCATCTCTCATTGCCACCCACCTTCACCTGATCCACTGCCATTTCCTGGTCCATCAACTTCCACAAAGTCTGTGCCAGTCAGTTGCACTCCTTCCTTCCCTCCCTTTCTTTCCGTTCATTGTATATCTATTGTAGGGTATGCGGGGTACAAGCTTGACTTGTTTTCTGTTTTGCTACACACAGGAACCTACTTTTGTGTTGTCACCCAGAGGAGCCTTACCACATTTGCCAACCTCACAGTGGACGTTATATTTTTGCCTAAACAAGAAGAGATAAAAGTTTCCCCTCTGACATCATTTACAACAGAATGTAACAACAACACAACAAAGTTGTCATGCTGTGTAAATGGCATCGGTTACCGTAGAGTATTCAACACCGACAACACACTGACACCCGGTAAATATAAAATTAAAGTAGTATTAAACGTTCCACGTTATTTTAAATGAATGCATTCTGTGCCGCCCGAGAAATATTCCCCAGCGCATCATTTACTGCATATGAGTGCACAGATAGTTACATGTTATACTATGCAATGCCGCCAGCTGCTGGTCGCACAGCGTCGCTTTCCTGATGTTATGATCAGGGAGCGCACACGCTGAATACGTTGCATGCAACAGTTCACAAGGGACAGGTCAGGCTCAACAGGTCTACTCGCTTGGAGGAGTGGGGAGCAGGGGAGTGGCTTGCCACCCTAGGCTACGTGGCTATCTGTTTCCATGGAGGCATGCAGCATAGAGAGACTCGTATGTAGTGATGTGCAGGGCCTTGGCATGATCCAAGGTGGCTTAACTGCGCCCAAGCCGGCGCAAAACGGTGGCAGTTTAGCACCGGCTTGGGTGAATTCAGGTGAATTTGGTCACTGGTATGTAGTTCCAACTGGGATCGTGCAGACAAAGGGAGCTCCACAGGACCCTGCAAGCGGAATTAGCCACCCAAAAATGAGAATCAAAGAAGAGAGCATCCAAAGCAACCACAGGCTTGAAAAAGAAAAGCACCTAGCAAGCAGGATAAGTGCTGAGGTCTCCGGCACTCTGCTCCTTACATTTGAGGGTCTAATAACCTTTGAAATGTAGGACACACTTTGGTCCAGCTTGGAATGTGCATCAAACGCAGGTCAACAAAATCCCATTTATTTCAAAGGAGCAGCACATATGTTAGTTCAGAAGCCATGTTTCTGTAGAGCTTTGTGCTCTTCGTGCTGCGGGGTGTATCTTTGGACGCGGTGCATCTTGCTGAGGTGCTTTTGGATGGCAGGTGGGGAGCCAGGTTAAGGATAGCCTTTCCTTGTCAAGCACAGTCTTTTCCCATTTGAATGTAGCTGCCTGCGTTCAAATGGAAAACGCAGAGTGCCCACCAAGGCCTGAGCCTTGCTTTCATACAAGGAGAGAGGTGTCACTCGCTAGGATTTGTTTTTGGAACATTCATCCAATTCTCCAATAGTTAATGGGGTCATGAGGCAACATTTTTGGGGGAAGAATGCACAGGAGAGACAGGAGAGAGAGGAGAGACTACCAGGAGAGAGAACAAGCAGAGAGAGCCAGGGGAGAGTGAGGAGAGATAGCTAGCATCTGCCTGAAGCAGCATGACACCTCCTTGATCCTTGAGTTCCAGCATCTCTCCGTGTCCTGTGCCTCCTCCATGCACTCAAGTCAGAACACCAGGCCCCTGTCCATCTGACATTGTGACATATTGTGTCTGGTTTTCAGCTGGCCTGAAACCTGGACTGTCCGGATGAATCCTTGACAGGTGGCAACCCTAGGTGTGCTAGCCATTGGTTCTCCCACAGGGGTTTCAACTCTTCCACCACTCTATCCAAAAATTAAGGAACAAATTGGCTGCACATACACTTTAAACCATGTGAAAAATAGTGGCCGTGGTCATCTCTGACTCATGATGGGGGTAATATCACACCATGGCATGATGACGGCTCTCCCATGTTAACTTGACTCTAAAAATTAAATGATGCTCCTTAGAATTAATTATTTTTGCCTCACTTTCTTACATTGTTTATTTAGTTGCAGATCCAGATCCAATCTGTTATTCTGCCAACGTGACTTTTGACTGTAATGTTAAACCAGAAATCACTGTCACATGTGTGGTCTACAACAGTCAGAACGACAGTGTCACCAGTGATGTCATGACCATCACCTACTTTAAAGGTAAGGGAAATTAGTCCCATGTAAGGCAGCAAAGCCCTAAGGGCAAGAGAGATATGGCTAAGATGCCACCATTCGGGGAATGATACATTTGTTGCATGGGAATTTAAAGTGACAACTAGGGATGCACTGATACCGATACTAGTATCGATATCGGTGGCGATTCCGAGTTTTTGGGCGAGTACTCGTACTCGCCCAAATGCTCCGATGCCTACCACGAGTACTTCCGGTATCAGGAAGCAGGCAGCGCGTCATTACACGCTGCCTGGTTTCCCGATTGGCCGGGAAGCTGCTCCATGCTCTCTCGTCACTTGTGATAAGAGAGCATGGAGCCGACTTCCCGGCCAATCAGGAAGCCGGCAGCGTGTGATGATGCGCTGCCTGGCTTCTTGATTGGTCGGGAAGCTGGCCAATCAGGAAGCTGGCCTCGTGAGGTAAGGTTACATTACCTCAGTATGTGCAGCCTGTCACCCCCGGGGCCTCTCCAGCGAGAACGCAGCCTTCCTCCGGTACCCAGCCGGAGCCGTCTGGCCGGCCAATCAGGAAGCCGAGCGCCGTGTAATGATGCGACCGGCTTTACAGTAGAAGTGATTCTGCTGGCTCAGCTGAAGCCAGATCACTGCTACGATCTGGTAAAGTGGCCAACACCTCAGCCGTGTTTCCCAGGCTCCGTGCCCCTCCTGTGGGCCCAGGACCGGCATCTCGGGTGTCAGCAGGAAGCTGGGGAGGAGAGCGGTGAACGTCCGTTTACTGCTCTCCTCCCCGCTCTGTGGGACCGTAAGCGACACAGATTGCATCACCCAGCAATAAGCTATTGAAGTGCGATCTGCACTTCAATAGATTATGTAGAGCTGAACCACTGAACCACTCTTTCACAATGTGAGCCCGATGAATCCTGATATTGTCATCTTGGAATATGTCCAATGTGCCATCAGGGAAGAAAAAATCCATTGATAGAAAAACCTGGTCAATCAATATATTCAGGTCGGCAGCTGACCTCATTTTGTGGGCACATAACATTGCTGAACCTAGACCTGACCAACCAAAGCAACCCGAGATCCAGTGGAAGACTCTTACCTATTTGTTTAGCTAAATCCAGGTGGTGACTTTTTTTATGGACAGGCAGTATATACTCCAAGGCACTTCCAACTTATATCATAAAGCTGTGTACACTTTGCCCCTGGTGCTAGTTCACACCAGCCCCAGTGCGCTCCAGGCCGATTCAGTGCCGGAACGCACTGGATCGCATCAGAAAAAATGCTGCATATTTTTTCTGACAGTACCAGAATGCTGGCATTGGTGTGCCATGCATTCCGGTGCGGGCAATCACACTGCAGGGGAGGGGTAGTGGCGGTTACTTTGA